TGTTTTATTTTTATAATTTATTTTAATAAAAAAAATATATTTCCAAAGTGGTAGTTTTATTTAAAAAAACGTAACTAATACGTACAAGTTGAAACAAAACCTATACGTCCATATTAAAATGACATTATACCTATACGTCCATTTAAAAACGCAATTTTTACGTCTCCTTATCCACGTAACGGTTATGGCTAATTCGCGGCCCAGGATCCGGACATAGGCACATCACAGCGACGTTTATGTGACGTTTATTTTACAAGATTCTTATACGTCACACTACAACCTTTGACGTTAATTTTACATATATTTTACGTTTTTTTGCTCAGTGGGTCATTTAGACCCTTTTTTTAAATTCTAAATAAAACGCATAAAATGAAACTGGATGGTGGAATCTTTATTATGACCTGAAAGAACAATTTTTGACATTTATTTTTGGAAAATAATTTCATTTAAATGCTGGCCGCGACGGCACACACAGCGCGCGAAACAATAGCTTTATTGAGAAATCATTTTGGTGAGCAGATAATTTCGCGTTTTGGACCTGTCAATTGGCCTCCTAGATCGTGTGATATCACACCCTTGGACTTTTTTCTGGGGTCATGTTAAATCAAAAGTCTTCGTCGATAAGCCAGCTACGATTCAGGACTTAGAAGCCAACATAACTCGCGTAATTGGGCAGATACCGGTCGCAATGCTAGAGTGATCGAAAATTGGACCTTCCGAATAGACCACGTACGGTGTAGTCGCGGCCAGCATTTAAATGAAATTATTTTCAAAAAATAAATGTCAAAGATTGTTCTTTCAGGTCATAATAAAAATTTCGCCATCCAATTCAATTTTATGCGTTTAATTTAGAATTTAAAAAAAAGGTCTAAATGAATCACTTACTTGATATACCTATTTTGTATATGTATCTACTTGGGCCATTCTAGGCCAAATCGGACCGTTTAAAAAAATAGTTTTTCGATTTCCGTAATTTTTTATTTTTCTGTAGGTACTCACATATATGTGAGTTTCGGTCTAAATTTTAAATTTCTTTAATAAATATATATATATACAGTGTGTCGCACTTAAGATGAAGACACCCCCATATTTTCGCTATTTGAAGGAATAAAGGTTTGAATTTTTTCACATTCATACATGTTGATGGGTCACATTTTTTAAGCTACTCAACTAAAATCTGAACTTGGCCTACTACAAATTCACAAACAGGGCCAGTTCTCGATATTTTGCTTCGCGTTAGAGATATCGAAAAAAGTTATTGGAAAAAGTTGTTCAGAATATTATTCTAACCCCATATACAAATTTTTATAAAAAAATTCGCATTTTTATTTTTTTTTTATTTTGGTCCACACAAAATTCATTTTTTAGTTTGATAATAAGGGAGCCATGGAAAGTAATAATTTGATACTAACTAGTGTTTATGACCGTTAAATAAATAATTAAAACAATTTTTGGAAATTATAAATCAATTATAATTTATTAAATTAAGGAAATGGTATAAAACAATAATAAAACTAATAAAAATAAATAAATTAGAAATGCGAATTTTGCTATGAAAATCGGTATACGAGGTTAGAATAATATTCTGAACAACTTTTTCTAATAATTTTTTTCGATATTTCTAACGCGAAGCAAAATATCGACAACTGGCCCCGTTTGTGAATTCGTAGTAGGCCAAGTTTAAAGTTCAGATTTCAGTATCTTAAAAAATGTGACCCACCAACATGTATGAATGTGAAAAAATTCAAATCTCTATTCCTGGAAATAGCGAAAATATGGGGGTGTCTTCATCTTAAATGCGACACACTGTATATATATAATTTGGGTTTTTATTCCCAATTTTTAGGTTTTATAATTTCTAATAAATATTTTAAATCTAAGGGATTTTATAATTTTTTTAAAAATTATTTTTTAATATTATTTCTCGGCGTAGAATACCTTAAATACAATCATTTTTTTTAGATCGGGAATTTAGTTAAATATTGCAATGAAAAGAGCTGGAAGTAGTTTATTGGGCTTTTTAAAAAGCAAAAGCCGAATACCAAGCCGAATATTAATTCTGATAAAAAAATTAATGTCAATGATCAAAGAAAGGGAGACATTGATCTAGTTAAAACGCAGCAAAGTTTAATTGTTCCATCAACATCCTCCTCAAGCGTTCAAAACCTTCTGTATTTAAATATCGTTACCGAAATCAATGATGTTGCAAACTATTTAAAAAAGGAAAAAATTAAAGCTTTAGATAATATTTGGTCACCTCCACCTAGTTTTAATTTTCAAGCCAAGCTTGAAGGAAAGTATAGTAGAAAATTTCAAAGAAACCACCTTGATAAATTTGAGTGGCTTGTTTATTCTGCCGATAAAGATGTAGTATACTGCAAGTATTGCAAGTTTTTTGCCAGGAAGGAGGTGGGACATACAAGCGGGCAATCTTTAGGTGCATTATGGTCAAAACCTTACAGAAATTGGAAAAAAGCAAATGAAAAATCATCAAATTGCAGAATATCATAAACAATCTGTTTTATGTTTTTTAAATTTAAACGAACAAAATATGGACTCAATCTGAACAATATTAGGGGTCAGGGGTATGATGGGGCATCCGCTATGAGTGAAAAATTTAAAGGCGTTCAGTCTAGAATTCGAAAAATTTACCCATTGGCATTATATGTTAACTGCGTATCCCACTCTCTTAATTTCTTTGAGATGCCACCAATGTAGCCTCTATAAGAAATTGCATGGGTACTATAGAGCTGCAATAATTTTTTTAATAATTACTTTAAAAATTACTCTTCAGGAAAATATAAAAAAATATTCTACATAAACTAAAAGGGACAGACTTATAAAGCTATGTCCTACAAGGTGGGTTCAGCGCCATGATTCGGTTATAGCGATGAAGGAACTATTAACACCAGTAGTTATTCATTAGAAGATATATCTGATTGGACAGACCGTGATTCATCCACAAAAGCGACTATGCTATTGAGAGCATTGGATTCATCAGAATTTATAATATCATTGTTGGCAACCGAGATAATATTCGCATATACTTTGCCGTTGTTAAAAATCTTCCAAGGAGAGAGTATATATCTCCTCGATGCAATTGCCCTAGCAGAGGATTGCAGTAAGAGCTTAAATAAAATGCGATTATCATCAGAGTTATAAAAGAATCAAATTTCTAAATTTTTTCAATTGACTACATTTTATCACCAAGATCTGGAGTACAATAATCATGCAGTTTTGAGAGCAGAACTTGAATTATGGTGGGAATATCTGCAAAAAATTGATGAGAATCCATCAAAGGCAATTCAATTTTTAAAAATTTGCAACGAACAAATTTCTTCTGAAAATATTCTGCACACTTCCGGTAAGCACTGCAACAGCTGAGAGAAGTTTTTCTGCACTAAAATTGCTTAGGAATACTATGGGAGAAGAGAGGATTTTATATGTTCATCCTAATATAACAATTTCTGTGGAAGAGGTCTTAAATGAACTCCAAAAAAGAAAAAAAACGATTGACATTATTTTGTAATTTTTTCAATATTTATTTTTATTTAGTAGGTATAAGACATGTGGAAAAGTGGCAATTATTTTATACCAAATATTTTTGCATAAAACAAAAATGTTAACATTGTGCTGTGTTAAGAGTTAATTTGTTTTATTTTTTTGCAATACATATAAAAATCAAAAATAATATGTCTTATTAGTTAACTTACCAGGCTTTGCCCCCCCCAGGACACAATCCTGCGTACGCGCCTGATAGGTATTCAAAATAAGAAGTTATCCATTTTATCGAAAACAACTTTTTCTAACTTTTGGGTTATTTTTTTAATTATTAAACAATTGCCTTTTAACAATTTGCTTTTTTGGGCTCTAAATTTTTGTTAGACTTCCTAGGAACTTTTCAGCCTGGCACTCATTCAAATTCAAAAATGAATTACCCTAGAAAACAGTAGGTAAAGTATAGTCTACACAGTATAGTATAGTTTATACATGAGCTGTTAGAAAATACACTTTGACCCACAATTCATGGATTGTGTCAACCTCAGTTAAACTGTTTTTGGATGTGTACATTAGGGTAAAAAAAAAATTACCGGGCCGTTGACTAAAAATAGGGAAAAAATGTTTGCCAAATTTCAGCCCTATAGGTCTATCCTAGATTACCCCTGTGAACCACTTTTTCACAAAAAAATTAATTATTTAATTAAAAATGAAGAAATTTAAATAATAATAATTCTTGTTATTATTATAATTACGGGTGAAATATTAATCAAATTTGCATACAATACTACACAGGGTGATCCAAATTAAGGGCGCACCATTGCTAACTTCGTTATTGTTGATCCTATGTCGCTGAAATTAGCAAACAATCAGTATTTTTTTCTGCTGATTGCAAAGGTAAAACGACAAAAATAATTAATTATACACTTTTAAGAAATTCAAAATATCAAAATTTAGAATAAAAATGCTTAATTTTGATCACTCTGTATTTGAGAACGTAAAATGGTTTTAATATTGTTTATTTTTGAAGGAGCTGAAGAGCACACTGTATTTGGTCTTCATTTTTCGTTTTTAATTAATTAAACTCAGTAAATAAATGAACCCCCCTCCGCAACATCATTTACAACTTTAAATTTTTTTACGATTTTTAATGCATTTTGATACCTCTCACTTTCGCTCCAAAGGGCTGAGTCAATATACAAAAAGTATTGACTGATTGCGAACCGAACAAAGAAATTTCGTGTTTGAGACGTTACAAAATCTTCCATTTCTTTTTTACAGAAAATAACCATGTTTGTATTTTAGTTCAATCCTTTTAGGAATCACATTTTCTATATCTTCAGATTGGTTTAATTCCGTTACCATGCATCGTTTCTTATTCATTGATACTGATACATCGAAAAATTCCATGGCAACTGATTCCAAATTAAGGTACCAAAGATTGTTTTTGAATTTATTAATAGTACCTAATCATTGACACCTCATCGTCAATGGATTTATATTCATGCATTTAGAAGTTGCAAGTCGTGATTGGGTGCCATATCTGCGTGCGGCGCCGTAAACCAGGCCTCTATGCACAACATTACGATGAAAATCGATGTGTCACGAACTGCCGTTCTCTCTTCTCCTGTCATTTCATATTGAACTCTAAACATGAATATTTTAAGGCAATATATTGCTTTAGCCATCCACTGTGCATGATAAAAAGCTCAAGTAGTATAAAAAATATGTTCCGAGGTGGAATTGCATCAAGGAAATCCAAAGTTAATTCCAGCTCTTTGTAGTCGTCTCTTTGATGGCGAGTTTGCAGGGTCTTCTGTACAAAATAAACTATACCCTGAACTTCTTTAAATGTATCTACCAAACCAGTTTTATATTTGTCAAAAATTCTTAAAGAGGGGAACATTTGGTCCAGTTGTTTTTGGTACCTTTTTCTCAAACACGCTTCGCAGGACCAATTCAAAAATATGGTGTCTGCAAGGTAGAAATAAAATATTTCTTTCCCGCAAGTGTTCAAGTACCGTGACAGATCCATCCACTCACAAATTTGACGTTCTATCGCAACAAAAAGCTTTAACTGACTCTAAAAGCCTCCAATCTTGAAGCATTTCATAAACCGCGTTGGCTTGTGTTGGCACTTTACTATTTGGTAAAGCAGGAACGCCAAGAAGTTTCTCAGTCTTACTATTCGATACCAAAACTGGTAGTCTTTCAACAGTTTCTCGTTTTAAAATATCGAATAAGAGTTTTCCATTCCAATGTAAAACAAGAGCATTTAATTCAGTATTTTCAAAAATATTTTTGATTTGGGTGGCTCTAGCCTCGCGTATTTTTCGGCGATAATATCGAATTGATGTTCTATTTATCGTCAATGTCTCTACATCAAAGTTCAGAACTTCTGCTATAGCGGCAACTAAGTGGACAGCACCTCTGTAACTTACTTTGCAACTGTCAAGGACTGCAACAACTTTTTGGTTGAAAATATTAATCATTCCTCTGGATTTCTTCAGCGAGGATGGTTCAGCCTCATCTTCGTTGCTACTGCCAAATGAAACACTCAAAGTAGCAATACTTTTTTGACGGATTTATAGTTCAAAAAAGTAGGAGTAGCAGTAGCAGTAAGCCAGTGTTAACAATATAATAATAAAATAAAATGTCTTCATAAATGTCTGCAATGGCTGGAGTAGGAGTAGCAACAAGAAAAGTTAATACTTGGCCATCTCTTACGCCAACGACCTTGGTTGCTACTGAACGCTACTTCAGCCATTCAAATTGCAGCATTTATATTATTATATTAGCAACACTGCTACTGCTACTCCTACTTTTTAGAACTATAAATCAGGCTTTAATGTTTGATTTGAGTGCTCTCCATCACTTGATGCTAGCTCCACAAAATTATCTGAAAAATATCATTAAGAAATTAATACAATTTAATATTTGGTATATTACTGTCGGATATTTATATTTATAACATCTCTTTGAACTTAGAATCTTTGAATGAGTAATACTTATCATTATTTAATTAATTAAGTACCTATAAATATCTTACCCATTATATCGATGTCCACTTGGCTTTTTGATTGTTTTCGGCGTAACAGTTCTTCCCGTTGATTTTTCGCTGGTTCAAGTTTGTCAAAACAGCTTTCAATGTCATTTATATAGCCAAGGCGACCCAGTTTTCGTTGATTTTTAAGGAACTCTCTTCTCTGCTCATCGATTTGCTCCAAAACGTGACCATGATCAATGTCAAACAAGTTTTGAAGCTCTGAGGTAAATTGTTGCTCCTTCTCTTTGGTTTGTTGGCATTTTTTTGCAAAGTACTCCATTCTTGGTGAAGAACCATTATTTTGTCAATGCATCGATTTGCTTTTTGCATGAGTAACTGGGCTTTGGCCAAAAAATTTTGACCTCATCAAAAACAAGTTTGACACTAACGCCTAAATTACAATTTCGTTTAAATAATTGTTGTTGTTATAAAAGAATAATTTAAGTACTTGTCCTTTTGATGGCAACTTGTTCCCATAAATTTGTGTATGCAGCTCACCAATAAGATAAATGTTCTGATCACTGATTGATTCTATCGACATTGTATTGTATGGCACGCCGTTTTAACATTTATTAAATAATTTTTTAATTTAAAATTTTATTAGTTTAAAATTTTAGGTTTACATTTATAAATTTATAATATTTTCAACTATCATGTATTTAAAGACAAAATTTACTAACCAACAGTTCACTTCTGTATTAAACAATATTACTTTTTATCAATTTTTTTAAAAAATTTTAACTATCATTTTTTAATAAAAATAATTTCCCAAGTATAATTTATTTAGGTGGCATTTTGTTAACTTAAATAAATATTTTATAAAATTATTGAGATTAATTTGGTAAAGTTAAATTTTTTAGTATTTAAAAATAGTATCAAGCCATTTAAAATAAAAACACATATAAAACATTTTCTACCAAAATAGTTTAAAAAGTTAAATTTTTGTAAACTCAAAACTATGAATAATAAAAAAATATTTTTAAAATAAAATGCAACTTTAAAAGTTAAAAATATTAATTTTAAAAAAATGGAATTTTAATATTTTATTCTTCAAAATTATTGGTTTGAATTTGTAAAGTCATTTAAATGATAGTCGATAAATTTTCAATACAAAAATTTGAACATTACATTTAAATGTTAGTTTTAAATTTTAAAGTGGTAATTTTTGCATTAAAAATCTATCGACTATCATTTAAATGACTTTATAAATTTAAACCAATAACTTTTATTTTTATCAATTTTACATTAATACATTTTTATGACAAAATTTATAACTTTACATTTAAATGTAAGTCGATAATTTTTAAATTACAAAGTGAAAACGTAGCTTTAGTAGAAGGCACAAGAGTCTGGGATCGGAGTCAAGATGCAGCCAGTTTGATCCGCAGTGTTGCCAAATCGTGCTTGCTCCATAAATATTTGACGCGTTTTACAAATTACATAAATTTAATAATAGAACAACATTTTTAGTGCCTATTGTACTAAGTTAATTCGACAATTAAAAAACATCAACGGATCAAACTGGCTGCATCGTGGCTCCGATCCCAGACTCTTGTGCCTTCAACTAAAGCTACGTTTTCACTTTGTAATTTAAAAATTATCGACTTACATTTAAATGTAAAGTTATAAATTTTGTCATAAAAATGTATCAATGTAAAATTGATAAAAATAAAAGTTATTGGTTTAAATTTATAAAGTCATTTAAATGATAGTCGATAGATTTTTAATGCAAAAATTAAATGTAAAGTTATAAATTTTGTCATACTAAAGCTACGTTTACACTTTGTAATTTAAAAATTATCGACTTACATTTAAACGTAAAGTTATAAATTTTGTCTTAAAAATATATCACTTTAAAATTGTTAAAAATAAAAAAAATTGGTTTCAATTTGTAGAGTCATTTAAATGATAGTCGATAAATTTTTAATCCAAAAATTACTACTTTAAAATTTAAAACTTACATTTAATATAATGTGAGAATTTTTGTATTAAAAATTTATCAACCATCATTTAAACTCTATAAAAATTTAAACCAATAATTTTTTAGAATAAAATATTACAACCAAAACTTATAATAAATAAATTTCGTTAGATTTTGATGTACTTGTTCATTTTGTATATAAGTATTTTGGGCCTTACGTGCACCCGAAAGGATATAATGAAAAAAAACAAGTTTTTCGTTATTTAAAGGTAGTTCTAGGATTACAATCGGGTGTTGAGATACAGTAATGTAAAGAGACGTTCGCTGCCTACAAAGGCCTGTAGGACAAAATAGGCTAAAAAATCTTTTTTTTCAACGGGCTATAAAAAATTTATTTTTGGGTTAAAGGGGTTGTTTCGTGAAATTTTGTTTTGTGCCTATATAAAGGTAGTCCCCTGGACTACGTACCGACATGTGTTTCGTTGTCATTGTAAAGTGTGTAAATGAAAAATCCACAAAAAACTACTTGAAACAATGTTTTTTTTGGGGGAGGGGGTAGTTCCCGGGCGAATTTTTTTAATTCCTTTTGAATTTGCAATAAGCACACCATACTATGTTACGTACATTTTTTTCATCAGTGAAAAAAAATTGTAGGGGATTCTCCAGACAGGTGAATTTGAGAGTAAAAACCCTTCCCACTGGGCAAGGTATGTTCTGTGAACGTTATGTAACGTTAATATAAGATCGCATTTAGGATGTCTAAATTTAACATTCTTGACATGTTGAAGTAACGTAAGCAAGTAGTCGTTATTTATAAAATGTTTTATCAACGTTCAGTAAAAGTCGAAAATATTGACGTTGCTTGCGTAACATTAGATTTCCAACAATTTGCTGATGTTACTTTAACAATCTACTATGCAACATCAACTTAACATATAATCTTTCAACGTTCACATTTGAATGTTTATACAACAATATTTTGCAGAAGTTAATATCAAGTTGTAAGTTGCACGTTAGATTTCCAACAATTTGCTGATGTTACTTTAACAATCTACTATGCAACATCAACTTAACATATAATCTTTCAACGTTCACATTTGAATGTTTATACAACAATATTTTGCAGAAGTTAATATCAAGTTGTAAGTTGCACGTTAGTTTTTCAACAATTTGATGATGTTAACTCAGCAATACATGGCTCAACATCTACTTAAGGTTTCGTCTTTTAACGTTCACATTTTAATGTTTATACAACGGTGTTTTTAAAACGTTACCTAAAGTTACTCTTATATACTTTAGTTTAACGGCACGAAGTCATATACTTACCACACATATACAGATCATTTTGGATTCAGGCTGTTTCCTTTTCGTGGGGTTAAAGTAGGAGCTAGCTACTTATGCAGTTTTACACATGCGTGGGGCCGTGTTGTCAGATGTAATTATATTCTAATATTATTTTCGTTATTATAAAGCTTATAAAAATATTTTATATTGCATAATTTATAAATAATTAATAAATTATGTTTTTAAGTATTAATAATAAAAAGAAGTATTATTTTTTCAATTTTATAAAAATGTTTTTAGCATTAGAAATTTGGCTACGTCTTATTTTATTACCCAAGGACTAATTGCCAAGGAGATTATAATCGAACATTTTGGTCACAGTACAAACCATTTTTGGTTTATTGTTTACAGCAAAACAGTTCGCATTTTAAAACTAGTTTTCTAATATTTTTTTAATATAACCTAAATTCTTAAACTGACATTTGGATTTATTCATAACCAACAAACATTATTGATTTTTTAATCTCCCACTTTTGAACTGACCGTGCGCAAAAGGTAGAGAGTAGCCACCCTCCCCTTAAAAACGGGAACAAGGTCATCTATTCAAAATATAGGCAATAAGCGGTATATGTGTGGTAAGTATATGCACGAAGTTAATATACAGCGCCATCTTATGGTACTCCCAACAAGTAAACAGTTGTCGCTGCTTGAAGTTCAAGCATTGGACGACCTATCCAGGCGTCCTTTGTTTGTTTTGTGTTTGGTGTGTTTAACAAATTATTTCCTGGCTGTTTGAAGAAACAATATGAGCGACGACAAAAAAAAATCAGGTAATTCAACATATTACATAATATTGCTTATATCAATTAGACTTAACTAAAATACTTACTTTCTAAAACAAGATGTTTTGTTTTCTAAAAGCCGGCCGGCAGATAAACCAGCCTTCAGCCATTTTGTCCTAATAGAAAGTGTAATATTGAATCAATATTATTGATAATTAAAACTGCAATTGGCAAGTGCTATTCTTAAATTTATATCTATTTAAAAAGATATGCAATTAATAATTATTAATCTATGAATATTAACATTTGTTATTAATGTTAAAAGTATAGGTAAAACCTTTAGGTACAACCAAAACATAAACATAAATCTAAAAGACCATTTTTAATTTAAAAATTTTAAATGTATCATATATTAAGGCTTAATAGGCATATAAACTCATACAACACACTCATGCTCAGGGTTTTGTGCTTCCACGACTCATGAGTATAGCAAAGAAGCTATAAACCCTGATACACATACAACAAACACACCACGGTGCTGTTCTGAGAGGTGATTTTTTGACTTTCTGTGAAACCTAATTTTTTTTAATATTCTTGTTAATTAGGTCATAACTAAAATTTTAAGAGCAAAATAAAAAAAAATTGACGGTTTGAATTGTTTTAATTGGCTGTTTATTAAAAATATTATGCACTCTTTCAATTATCCAATTAAAACTAGCGATTTAATTTAAATATTTAATATTTGCATAACTAAAAAAAAGGTTTTTACAATTTTTTTTATTTTATATTTTAAACGTTCAAACTTTTAATCTAACCTTTTACGTATACAATATATCCTTAAAGGTTGCCATGAAACATAGATCTATTAAAAATTTATTTGACGTTTGAATTGTCATTTTCAGTATACGTATTGTATAATTTTTGTTAGGTTTTTTAAAGTGTTTTTTATAAACAAAAATGAAAAATTGTAATAAAAGTTACGAAGAAATTCATGAAATTTAACTAAGGACCGGTTTATTCATCTTTAGTAAAGTTTATCGGGCCGAACACTTTCATGTCTTGGCAAAGAAATTATTGGTCAAAGAAATCAAAAATGAATAAATCGGCCCTAAATAAAAGTGGCACCCTTAGAATTATTGTTTAATAAATGTGTATTACAACAAAACAGTAAAAGATATAAAAAATGTATAGACCTTTTTTTAGGAAATTAACTAATCTTTAATCTGATTTAAAAAGTTATGATAATATTTAAATAAAATCGCAAGTTTTAATTGGATAATTGAAAGTGTGCATACATATTTTTAATAAACATC